AGAAATCTTAGTTTTTGTGCATGTACAAATATGTTCTGCTTATGTAAATGAAACTATAGGTGAACCTCTTACGTTACCTCTTAGAACTTTAGAATAAACATTTCCTCTGAAAGCCTTTTACGTGCATTTTGGACAAACAGTTTTTGGTGTTCTGCTTGGACTTTCTAAATTGGTACAATTCCATTATATTCTTAAAGTATTCTGAATTTTCCTAACCTTAAGCGACTGGTGTCTTTCAGCATTAATAATAAAAAATCGCTAAAAGATGCACATTTTTCCATACAGAAGAAAACATTTTTGAGCGAGATTGTGGTTTGCTAGGTTATCAACTAAGGCTGGGGTGCCCAATCCCGGTCCTCGAGAGCTACCGTCCTGCAGCTTTTAGATGCATCCCTACTCCAACACAGCTGAATCAAATGGTTTGATCTCTTCAGCATGCCATCATGTTTGGCAAAGGCCTGATAACAAGCCATTCATTTGATTCAGGTGTGTGGGAACAAGGATGCATCTAAAAGCTGCAGGATGGTAGCTCTCGAGGACCGGGATTGGGCACCCCTGAACTAAGGCTAGCAAATTTGGTAAGTAAGGTGAATCGTAGACTTTACAGGTCCAACACACAGATACATATATTCACTAAAATAAGTGCAACAAATTCACTCACCAAAACTCAAGAACAAACTTCTTGGATGGGGTGTTAGTACAGCAAATTATTTCTCAGATAGTTCCTTTTAAAAATGTTCCAACAGCATTGTGGTTCAGTTTTGTTATTCAAATTAGCTGTAGCCTAGCACACAGCTAGCATGTAGCTGCATGTAGCTGTTTGTCAAAATTGTCTCAACCTTGTAGTTGTCTCTCATGACATAATGAACTTATTGATCAATCATCTGTCAAGTCGTCAGAAACATAGAATTTTCTAACTGGTTGCCAAGTGGTTCTTCAAGATTGCTAGCAATCACTAGGTAAAACTGGTAACAGAGGTAGAGCCATTGAGTAAGCTGTGTCAGAGAGGTTATGGTTAGAATTGTCATGTGATACAAGGAGACTTCGAATAGTTCCAGCTGTGCTTCGCAGCAAATTTAAATCAAGTGACAGGTCGTCGATTTTTACAGCATCTAAATCTCCTAATGTTTTGGTAGACCTACCAATATATTAGGCATGCATTGTATGGCACAAGTTAATTTTATCAGAGTGTACTGACAGCATGGAATTTTACTTTTAAACATCTTACCTTTAAAAAGTATATCCCAATCTTCTGTGCAGCTATATTTTGATGGTACGGCCAGCGTATGTTGCTAACCTCTGGCACTATTGTGAGGCTCCACGGTCCACTGTTGTTGTAAAAAATGGTCCATTGGAGTGAATGGAGATGACGCGACTCTTCCATTCAGGGTGCTGCACCACAAACCTTGTTACTTGTATGCAAAGCCTCACTAACTACTAGCCGAACAGTAGTGAAACTCAAAAAGGTTTAATGAAAACTGGAAACAGTAATCATTTGCTTTCAAAATAAATATTCTGCCTCAGTGCTGGAGCCCACATGAGGTGTAACTTTTACTTGAATGCAAATAGTCTCCATTTCCCATTTGTCTTACTTTTTGCAATTCTACTAGTGCTCGGAGAGTACCTGGCAGGTGCTTTGCAGACAATTCGAATTTCTGGCGACCTATTAGTGACCAAAGTAATTGCAAGAAGGCTTTTGGTGCAGTACTGTATACTTCTTTGTGGCCAATTTCACACAGCAACAGCAAACAACATCTCACACATTTTTTGCATAGTGGCTTTAGCACTTGTCTTCAGATTTATTGCCAACAACCTCCAGACACCACTTGTCAACTGGCCATAAAATATAAATTCTCCCCTAGCAACCGGTGATTGCTTGATGGTCAGGACTAGCCCTAGACACACAGATGGTCAGGATTGTGTGTCTAGGCATATTCACTTGGCCTGACAGTGTCACGTGTCCATAATGCCTGCAAAATCTGATTTTTTTTTTCTGCTGGAGCTCTGGAAATTTTAACATGGGAGTCTATGGGGACTGACAGGTTTTTGCCATTGCAATTATTAGTTCTTCCTTATTGGCTCTATTTGTTAGCCCTGGAAAAAAATATAAATGGCTAACTTAAATCCCGTTGGCATGACTCAGAGGAGGATTTAAAATAGAGAATTAGCACCATGTTGCAAGTCAAAGACCACCATCTCTTGTTGGTCTCAAGAAATTGCTGGCAACCTTAAAGCTAATTAGACACGACCACTTTGGTACAACTGCTAATGTCAGCTTACTAACACACTGATGTTTATCGAGTATGCTGTTTATTTGAATTGTATTACTGCAAACAGTGAGTGCCTGCAGAATATCACAGCTGGGTGTAAATCTTCTCTAACACAATCTAATTGCAGGTTTGTTGAAATGTCCTTGTGTCAGATGTACATTTCATAGCTCATTGTAATGCTCGCTCTGGACATCAAATTGTAGTTTTTTCCATCTGGCACCCCTCCCCCGTAATATTTGCTACTTCCCTCACCAGTATTTATCTATGTACTGGTATGCAAGCTCAAGAGGGGAGATGGGTCCGTAATACAGAAACACACAGGGGAGAGACACGTGGTGAAAATAATAAGAAAAAAATCATTATTACATAAAAATCCACAAAACTACAACATTCTGGTTTCTGTTTTATGAGACAAATCATTGCAAGTAGTGAATCCTTTTAAAAAGGTGGCACGAGAAACATCTGCTGCCTCTAGATCCATCCAGGGGAAACGAGCTTTGTATTTGAGGCTTGATTAAACAGAACACGCGGTGCTTGATTCCCCAGTCAATCAGAATGGGGTTTTAAATGTCTGCAAACAGTATGCGGGTGGAAAAGAGACTCAAATCAAATTAAGTGGAAGGTTGAACTGAACTGACATTTGTAAAGCCAGAGTCGAGGGAAGGTGCCTTGCTAAGCCATGTTCCAATGGATATTCCAGTGGTTATGTAGACTGGAATATCATGTACATACGAATCAGAAAGACAGAGGAGAACCGGGAGGGGAAGGAGGGAACAGGGACTGCTGGGCTCCAGCTAATCTGCTAAAGACTCACTTTTATCTTAATCAGCTGGAGACCTGCTGATATATTCGTCTAACAAATGCACCGGGCTTTAAATGTGTCTAAATCAAGGGTGTCAAACATAAGGCCCGAGGGCCAGAATCAGAATTATCCTGGCAAAGACTTAAATCCAGCCCACTGGTCATCTTTGGAAAATGTAAACAAGGGCACACATTTTGGACTTTTACCTGTATGTTCAGTGTTTTTACAGCTTCTCCTGCTGATAAAGATCTCCTCCATAACCATTCATACTATACCAACGTTACAGATAAACAATAAAACCGAGGTTTCTATAATAGTAATATTTTTTATTCTGATTTATTAAACATGAATTACTCTTCTGTAATTGTAATTGCAGGAGCGCCTGGTTAGTACGCTACCAGAACCTTTTCTGTAAGTTTACACATCTATTTATGTGTACTGATAGATTGTTTTCATTAACTACAGCAGCATTTCTTTATCATGTAGAAAAACCAAGACCTCCTGTTAAAATTGCAATTCTTTTTCTGATATTAAATTAGATTAAATGTGTAGTTAAACATCTTTACACTGCGGGAAAGGGAGTTTTGCTGGTCTGGCCCACTAAAGTGGAAAGTAGGCTGTGTATGATGTAAGATGAGTTTGACATCTCTGGTCTGGAGATTTTATAAATATAATGTCAAACTATTAATAAGTAGTTTGATATTATAGTAAACAACACATTTGCTGAGACCCTTATAAATTTTCTGTCATTGAAGAATGAGAGGACCCAGGTGCAGACTGAGCCCAGCGATATGCAGTGGTGTGAAAAAGTGTTTGCTGCTTTTCTGATCTCCTATTTTTGTATATTTGTTAAACCTAAATGTTTCACATGATCAGACAAACTTACATATTAGACGAAGGTAACACGAGTAAAGGTAAAATGTACTTGACGGCAGAGCAGATGATCCCACAGCAGGGAAACAAAAACCAGGAAGCAAAACCGAAACACGAGACGACAAACCCGCAGTGTGAAACAGGAAGAAATGAAAAGATAATTGAAAAGTGAGGACTGAAGGCACTCTGATGCAGAAACTATAACAAGGACAGAAACGCAGAACAGAGAAGAGACACGAAATCACGAAATAAGGAAACTAGAAACCTGGAGTAGCAGAACAAAGACAACACAATGCCAGGGATGTGACATTATGTCTCATTAATGTGGCTCTGTGGGTCTGCTAATGCTCCAACGTGAATGTAGAGACCCTGTCGCAGCTTTCAAAAGATGTTTGTTCATAAGTTGGACATGATTCATTTTAAATAGCTCAGGCTGATGAATATCCACAGGAGTCAGAGGGCAAGGTGCCCCCCAAAAAAGGTAGTTGCCCCAGTGCCCCTACAGGATTGCCTGGTAGGCGTTACTGGTCACTTTTCTTCTGAACCGACTCATCAGGCAACAACTTTTTTCCACTGCTCCCAACGCCAATATTTATGTTCCCTAAACTGAAACCTTCTCATTGGCTTCACTGATAAGTGTTTTCTTAAGGCCGTACATTGCATGAAAATGTTCTTACATTCACTATTAAACCAAACTTTGAATTCTACTGTTGATTTCTTACAATTTGATTTAATCAAATCTCTGTCTCACAGATGATTCTTCACCATTATCCTTCCAGGTTTTATTACTGTGTTGAATAGCTGTTAGGCCAAACCGCAGATCAATTCATGTTTAAGCCACTCGCCTTTATCTACTACAAAACGCTGTCAAACCTAAAATGAGGACGTGGGCCCAGCTAGTAAACCACCTGTTGTCAGCTGAAACATATGAATCACTGCACTGATAATAGATCATTCCTTGGTTAATTCCAGAATTTGGGTTGGATATATGTTTATATAATTTTGTGCCTTAGTAAGTATGAAATTAAGACAGCAGACACATTAATCATTTTTGCTTCATGAATTATTTTATTGCTATTGCGCTGCACACATTCACCCAAATGATAGATGTCACTTTGGCATAAGCTGAGGTAAGAAGTCCCACACACATAAGAAAAAACATCCCTTTGCAGCATTGTGTAAAGATGCACAGCTTACAGCACCACTGAAATATTCTGATTTGTTTTTGCATGAAAAGCCATTCTAAGCCCTGTTGTCACTCTATGAAGAAACGTATGCATATATGTCCTCTCCACTCCTTTAATTGCACCTTTAAACCTCCAAGTTCCTTATTTTGCTGCTGATGTCGCTGAGAAACCTTTGCAGTGTTTTTACAGAGAGCTGCCCGATTCCTATTTCGCTCACAAATGTTTAAGAGAAATAGAAAAAACAAAAACTACAATGGAGCACCACAAGCCTTTACGAATGCGAACAAAGAAAAGAAAACATTTCCAGAAACACTGCTTGACACGAACACATTCACGCACAATTTTTAGGCAAACGTTCAACCTGCCGGGAAGCTGCTGTTACTGCTCACTCTTCCAGAAAGCACACAAACTAAAAAAGATTATTATATATAAAAAACAAATTTAAAAAAATCTGGATATTTAATTTAAATAAATTTAACTTCGTTTGAATTAGTTTCACATTTTCATTCACATTGATTCACAGTTTGCGGATATCGGCCTGTGATGGATTGGACCAGCTCAGGCACACTTCTTCTGGCACCATGTCAGCTGGGACAGGCTTAAAGCCCCATCGGTGACTCTGACTGATTGAGCTGACATACTCTAACGCTGCAGACAGAGGCATGACAGACAGTCCCAGTCAATCAGTCAGTGTACTGGTAACTTTCAGACACAAGTTTGCCTTCTTCCACTTCCAACCGGATCAACAGGCGCTTCTTGGTGGCAGGGGACACTGGTGGGACAATAGTGGTGTCCGGGGCAATGGTGGGCGTGGTGACGGCGATATCCCGGACAGGGGTGGGTTCGGTGGCTTTCGGTTTGGCTGGCACGTATCGCGTCGGCGGCAGGTGAACGTCTGCGTGCAAGTAAGGACTTGGATTGGTTGGTTTGTTTTTAGAAATCTGAGCAAAAAAGAGGTTTGATTTTAGTAGGATGAAAAAAATTAATCAAGCATGAGAATGCTGATATGTGTGAAATGGATGTTACTGGTTTGGCTCGCTTTTGATTGATTTTTCAATTTAGATTGATCTTTTTTTATGTGTTAACGTTTTGCTTTATTTAACTCTCTCTGTTGGTTTCTACTGACATCACTGGTTTACTGGATGACCAAAATTGAGGCCTTTTTGGACACGTGAAATAGTCACATTGATCAGCAGTAATGCATTATTGGATGACAAAACTTTGTTAGTGGTTTATTAGAAAGAAATGAATCACTTTATATTCAGTGGTTTTGAAGCTAGAGCTCAGATCCCACACTGGGGCTTGGAGGACAATATTCTGCAAGTGTCAGAACTCCGTTTTTGCAATTTTAGCACCAACAATATTCACACTAAAAAAAAAGGACGAATAAAATCATCACTCATATTTTCACTCAACTATTCCTGAGTAAAGAACACGATAAGGGATCCTGAGCCACAACTATTGGGAACCACTGTCTTTAGAAGATATAGATTTTTGATTTTATTAAAGGGAAATTTGTACAGAATTAGTAAAATAAAGAATAAAAATGTATACACTTATGTGTCAGTAGACAACAAAGGTTCTCACCTGATTGGCGCATTAGGTAGCTCATTCTGGAGATAGAGCAGACACAGATATTAGTACAAGCACTACATTTAGATAATACGGTATTTTATTATTATTTTTTCTCTTTGGTTTTTCGATGCTCCCTCTGCTTACATACCTCTGCTCCTCGCCCTCCAGCAGCTTGCGGTAGGTGTTGATCTCGATGTCCATGGCCAGCTTGATGTTCAGCAGCTCTTGGTGATCACGGATCAGTGAAGCCAAGTCCTGCCTGGCCCGCTTCAAACAATCTTCCAGCAGAGCGATATTTTCCCGGGCCTTGTTGAGATTTTCCTCACCCTCTTTTCTAGCATCATCGAGGTCATTCATGAGGGCCTCTTCCTGATGGGAAAACAGAGATAAGATAACATCAGCAGTGACTAGATGGACAACATGCGTGCTGACTAAATACTGTCCAAATAATGTATCTAAGGGGAACCAACCTTCCTTCTGAGACTCTCCAGGTCTGCTGTAAGCCTCTGGATGAGACGCAGCAAGTCTGAAATCTCCCTCTTTATGTCACGCACTTCTTGCTCGCGCTCTCCTACAGTTTGGACCAGAGATTCCATCTAAAGTGGGAACAGGGAGATCAAATACTCAAAACATCTGCGGTAAGACTGAATGTCATATAAGCAATCATAGAAAAATACTTTTCTCTGGTTCCACTGCTCAGCCTCTTCCCTGGTGCGGGTAGCCATGGTAGCATATTGATTCTCAACGGCCTTGATGAACTGGTCCATGTCCAGAGAACGTCTGGTGTTGTCCTGTAGGACCACTGTTTTGTTCTGGATGCGTGACTCCAGCTCCTTGATCTCCTGCAGGGGCAGACATGGAGACAGTGAGTTATTGTGGAGACAAAGAAAAAGACCCACACACCAAATTTATTAGACCACCTGTCATTTGTAATTACCAATACTGTTAATTCAGTGTCACTAAGTGGATTTTCATCACTTTCATTACCTCATCAAATGCGAGCCTGAGGAAGGCCATTGTTCTCATCAGGTCCTCAAGATCCACAGCCAGAGCTACTGCCTCCAAGTGGCCTTCGTCTACTTCCTGTAACACACACATTAAATATACATACATGTGCCTCCAGTGACGACACAGTGATGAATAAAACTTTAAAGCTCACAGTACCTTTTTAGACACAATAAAGTCGTTCTCAAGGTCACCTCTCTGGCGCAACTGGTCTTCATACCTGAAACCAATTCCAAATAAAAAGGTGAAAAACTGATGAAGTTACAAGTTTTATTGCAACAATCAACATGTTCAGTAAAATCAGCCGCCCTGTGATTTGCTGACCTTTCCTTGGTATTGTCCACCTCGTCCTGGATCTCCTGCAGCTCAGGCTGCAGTTTGTTCTGGTCGGATTTCAAGCTTTCAATCTGCTGCTCCAGCTCGTTCTCCAGCTGCTTCACAAGATACTCAACCTTCCCGTTGTAGTCCTCCTGCTCCCTGAGGATCTTCAGCTTTGTCTCAAGTCTTCTCTTCTCATTCTCCAGGTTTTTCACCTACAAGACACAGACAGACAACATGGGTATGAATGCATCACAACAATGTGTCTCTGTGGAATCCTTAATCTCCATACTGCACGTGATAATGGCGACTCACTGCTGACCTTAGACGTTGACGTTTTCTCATTTTTCCACAAGGTGGCATCCTACTTGCAGGCCTATCTCTGATTATGTGCATATGAAGAAAATGAACTGCAGATAGACTTGTTTTTTGTGGCCTCCGGTAACATAATTGGTTTGAGCCGACAGGAAACACTATTCATGGGCCATTTGCACTTAAATATAACAAAAAACATAATCCTCGAAGACGGAGACGGAAGGACAAATAAACAGGATGTTTTTGTGTGTGTGCGTAATTTATTTATTCTGTCTCTGCTTATTCATCAGATTTGGATTCATTTACTTATTATTCAACTGTTGTTACCCAGTTAAGCATTTTTTGGCATGTCATTATAAACCAAAAGGTTGCACTATGACAAATAAGAACAACAAGAAAGACAAAAACAACAACCCAATAATAATAACAATAACAATAACAATAACAACAACAACAACAACAACAACAATAATAATAATAATAATAATAATAATAATAATAATAAACCTTTTCAATGAGCGCGACGAACTTGTCATTGAGTCCAACCAATTCGTTCTTCTCCTTGGATTTTCCCGATGAATCGACTCTGTCGGTCGGGACGCTTCTGAGCGGCTTCTTGCTGCTGGGGGAGTAGGACTGGCTGCTGTAGTCTCTTGGTTTGGACATACTGAAGCTTGAAGCGAAGAGCTGGAGTGTGGCTGAACAGGTGAGGGGAGAAGGCGCCTGCAGCCCTGCAGATCACCTTCTTTATAGGTGGACAGGTACAACCCCTCACCTGCCCCAAACTCTGCGTGCGTCCAATCACGAGAGGACAAGTGCGATATTAAATGGAAAGGTCAACGTGAAATACTTGAATTTCGACTCTAAACCAGTCTGTCCAGGAGCACCGGGGCCAATGGCGTCTCTGGGGGGCGGATTCGTGCGAAAAAACAAGTATAAGAACTACCTGCATCCTCCATCAGGCGCCTTAGACGCTCGGTGTCAGTGTCTGCTCTCTCTCACTCTTTCATCCAGCAACGATCATCATGCCTTCAAACAGCGCTGCCAGCATGTTTGGTGGAGCCGGGGGAAGGGGTGCCAAGGCGTCCGTGTCGACCCTGGATGGGCTGCGCAAAGTGCTGGGCAACCAGACAGAAAAAGATTCGGCTCCCATCCAGAAAGCTGCTGCCAAGCCCGTAGCCTCCCAGGCTCCGAGCGCCCCGGAAACTCTCGTCGCTCCCGGTGGCGACAAGGAGACACTGCGGACCCTGAACAATCGGCTGTCCGGCTACCTGAACAGAGTGAAGCAGCTTCAGGAGGAGAACAACGATCTGCAGAAAGAGATCGACGACATCCTGGCCAAGAGGAAAGTACCCGAGGGGCGTGATTGGGATGGAATCCTGAAACCCCTGGATAACCTCAAAAGGGAGGTGGGTCAGATTTCTGTCTTTCTTTCATTCTTGGAATTAACATGCAAATAAATTTCTGACTATACTTTCTTTAATGTAATCTTAAATTCTAACTATTAATGCATATCCTTATTTGATCAGATCAAAGACATCACAGATGACAATGCAAAGCTGCTGCTGCAGATTGATAACAGCAGACTGGCAAATGAAGACTTCAAGAACAAGTGAGTGTGAATGCCGTCCAGGCAAGGGCTCAGAAAATAAAGGACAAATTTGTAACAGCAACATAGCATTTGTAGCGTTTGTGAAGTTTGAAGCCAGGCTCGTTCTGTTGATGCAGGCTGGATGATGAGAATAAGGCATGCAAAGAATTAGAAAAGGACCTGGAGGATCTGAAGAGGGCCAAAGATGATACCAAACTGAGCTGCGACCAGACGAGGGAAGAGATCAACATGGTTAATGATGAGCTTGAGCGTCTCAAGACGGAACACAAGAAAGTAAGGAGGAAAACCAGCATGTTAAAAGTCACACGCTCAGTGCTGTATTGTGTGAAACTTGTAACTTGTGTTTGTCTTGCAGGAGGTTGATTCTCTGCTTGAGAAGATCAAGGACTCAGATGTGACAGTGGAGATTAAGTCCCAGGACAACAACCTGAGTGACGTTGTCCAGAATGTCCGCAGACATTATGAGAAAGTGGCTGAGAAGAACCTGAAGGAGGCAGATGAATGGTACAAAGAGAAGGTATGGAAGATTAAAGCTGGGAATGATGTGCTTCCTTGTCTCAGTTTCTCTCACTGTTTTCATCATATTATTTCTCCCCCAGTTTGAAACCATCAAGGTGGAAGAGGCCCAGAATACTGAGGCCTTGGAGTCTGGAAAGAATGAGCTCAAAGATCTCCAGAAACAGAAGCAAACTTTGGAAATTCAGATTCAGACCAAGAACAACAAGGTAAGCGCACAAGAGTGAATGCAAGACTGTTCAAATGCAGTACATTACAAAATCATGCAACACAATCTCAGTATCAGGACAAGATTGACGTTTCTCTTTTGTTGACACAGAAACAGAAAACATGAACAAAATATCAATATCGAGTATTCTTAAGGTTTGTTTTTCATTGGTAGCTGCGCACTGTGGAGCAAACCCTGAGAAACATCAAAATGGAGTATGGTCATCGCCTGGAGCCATCCAACAAGATCATTCATGGGCTGGAGCAGGACCTCGGAGACGTGAGGGAACAGGTGGAGCTGCAGCTAGACGCCAACAAAAACCTGCTGTCTGTCAAGCTGAAGCTGGAGAAGGAACTCGAACAGTACCAAGAACTTCTTTCTCGCTTATTTGATGATGTTGAAAAGTAAGGATGATGGCAGGTGCATCCTGTTTACTTTTAAACCTGTTGCGGGTATAAAACAGGTTTGCCAGCTGGCAGAACAGAGTGTCTGTTTAGTCATGTGGTGTTTTACCTCCATACATAATAAGTAAAACACAGCACTTTTACCCAAAGGACTGACATCTTATATGAAACCAGATCTTTAGATCTGCTGTCATTTGTTTAATTTAATTCAGTTAGTTATAGAAAATGAAAATAAATCTTTAATAAATTTGATTATTTGTTAAAAGCATTTCTGGCGAGGGCAGTTGGTAACAAAATAGCTATAAAATAAGTAGTTCAGAATGAAAACAGAGGCACTATTCTCTTTATATTTCCTGTATTGTTGCTTTAAGGTGAAACCACGTTGTGTTTTAATGTCTGTAATTTCCTGGTAAGGGCTGCTCTAGCCTGCAAATCTTTACCTAATGTAGTTTTACGGTTCAACATTAAGGGAAAACACCATGTGAATGTTGGCACTGTGTGCTTATTTCCCACTTGGTGTGTTAGCTCTTTATGCTTTTCTTCCCTGACAGCGCAGAGTTTGCTTTAACGGATGCAATACCGCAAGGTAAGTTTGGGATCTGCCAAGAAAAAAAAAAGTTAAATCACAATGAACGTGTCTGTCACGCATCCACGTGCCGAGACCTGATCAGCAAGATTCATATCGCTAAACAAGACTTGGGTCAGTTACTGCCTATGATGCTTTCAGTTTGGTATGACTCCACTCCAACAGGAAACAAAGTAAAGATACCAGAATCTGACCCTTGTCTTCCCTTTAGGACTCTAAATGTGAACAAAAATAGGAAATTACAGAAAAATAGTAAATCAAAAATAAAAATCTAAATGCTACCTTCGCATCACTGCGGGCTGAGTTAACAGTTTTGGGAAGTATGCTTACTGACTTTCTTGCCAAGAATTAGATGAGAAGGTAGTTACAAGTCTTACTTTAGTCCCTTAAGTATAACTAGCAGACAGTTAGCTTAACTTAGCTTAGCAAAAAGAAAATAATGAATCACCTACTTAGATACATTCATACATATACATACATATATATATACATATATGTGTGTGTGTATATATGTGTGTGTGTGTGTGTGTGTACAAATAGCTGTGTACTATGGAAGCTGATTTCTGCTACTATAAAAAAGTCCTCCACAAAATTTGGATTAATGTTCAGTTGGCCAATTCAAAATTTCAAGTTATTAAATTGAAATTTCAAGATACATAACTTCAAATTTTGAGGCATTATGTCAAAATGTTGAGATAGCTAACTTGAAATTTTGAGTCATCAAAATTTCAAAATGTGAATATTAAGTCAGATTTTTTGAGATATTAACCAAAATTCTGAGTTGAATTGATTTTGTACCTGAAAATTTGAAATTTTAGTTATTTACTTGAAATTTCAACATACCTAATTTAAAATTTCAAGTTTAGTCAAAGTTTTGGGATGCATAACTCAAAGTTTGAGTAAAGTTGAAATTTGAAATTTTGAGTTATTTATTTTAAAAAAAATTGAGACTCCTAATCTGAAAATTTGAATGGTCAAAATTTCAAAATACTGAACTTGAAATCACTGAGTCATTAAGTAAAACTTTGGAGATATTAACCAAAAGTCTTCACCTTTTTTCTTTTTTAGTAGCATAAAAAAGCTTCCATAGTGTCACCCACTGATACTTTTGGTGCCAACACTAACTAGCATTAGGCATCAGCAAGGAAGAAAATAAGCACATTTCCCAACATTTCTAAACTACCTCTTTAAAGCTAGCCGCATCACTAAAATGCACTAGACCATTGCAATAACACCATATTTTAACTCTACATCTTAATCCAATGAATAATTATTTTCAAAAGCTAATCAATCACCATTAAACCAAATATTTTTGATTCTCAGCAAACTCATAAACAGGTAACAGGAACTAACTGACTAAAGGCATATTTGTAACCTCTAAAATATGTCTTTTTGTTTACAGGGCAACAAACTAAAGAAGATGACGTTCCGGAACAGGGTGAAATAATAAAACAAGAAGTAGTTGCAAAACAAGAAAGCGCTCCCTCTAATCAATCAGCCCCCCCAGAAGCTCCTGAAGTGGAGGAGGAACCCCCCATCCAGGCTGACTCAAATGCTAGTAGCAGGGAAGAGGCTGCAGTCAGCAGCTCTGCTAAAAAGAAGAAATCTAAAAAGTCCAAGAAGTCCAAAACTAAGAAGGATTCCTCCTCCTCCTCTTCTTCCTCCTCCTCCTCTTCTTCTTCCTCCTCCTCCTCCTCCTCTTCCTCCTCCTCTTCTTCCTCCTCTGATTCCGAAAAGAAAGAAGAAAAGCCCGTAACTGAGGGTGAAGTGGTGACAGCTTGATCTTAAATGCTTTCTTTTTTTTCAGTTTGGTTATTTTCTTTTTCTGCTGTTCAGCAAATTAAAACTGCCTTCTGTACTGGTGCTGTCAAACCTGTAAAGTTACTCTGAGGTGCTGTTGTGGTTTATGTTCTCAGCTGTGCATGAAATAAAAAGATGTGGTTTTGAAAGACAAATGCTCAGCAGCGTCTTATTGATTTATTCTTTCATACATGAATTACTTGGCAGTTACTGCAGTGATAGTGCAGTCACTCAGAAAAAGAGGATCACAAATTGGCATAAGTTTGATCTTCACAGACTAAAGTTCATTTTTATTTCAAACATTTCAAACATGTGCCTTCACAATCATTACAAAATATCATTCCATTATTTGTTTGAAAAGGAGTAGGCTGAAGTATTTACTTATTTGTCCCTACCCCCTCAAGTTTTACCTCTCATTCATTTATTTATTTTTTTGTCTTAAATAAAAACTTTAGTCTTCACAGACAAAAGTTCATTTTTGGCGCCTTAAAACTCTTAATGTTCAGATATGCCCAGTCACTATAGCTTTAGCAACAAGAAACATCCTCAAATGTCTTTTAGAAAGTCCACCAATGCTTCAACCCAAAGCTTATACAGTTTGCCATAAGGTAGGACAGAAAAAGAGCAAAATATTCACATTTAAG